AAGAGTAATGAAAGGAAGAAATGGAGAATGTGATTGTTGACATTGTTGTGAAGACTTGGAAATGGGAAATGTTATGAGTTATGAGAAATCATTGCATTGCATATGCATTCAATTATTATTTCTTTTTTGCATTGTAAATTTTGATTGAAGATATTTATTTCATGAAAGAAAAGTGATGTTGTATTTAAGAACTATGGCAATGAGTATGGGGTAAATACGGTGGTAAGTCCGGATATGGGGTGTAGATGATTTGATAAGTTGGCCTGAGTGTCCTTAGTGAAAGACCAGAAAACCACGCTGATAGGTGTCGAGCCTTCCAATTAATTCTGGTAAAAATGACAGTTTGATAGTGCTTGTAGAGCCTACTTGCAGACACCAACCTAGGGATTACCAGTGTCGTATTTACCGCCCCTGTTGATTAAAATTGGAAGTTTTTGAAATGTGTTGAGATTGCAAGCTTATGTTGAAAAATGAACATCTTTAAGAAAAGCATGAAATGAAATTTCTTTAAAAGAGCATGGCATAGCATTGGCATTTGCATTATTTTTATTGAGAATTGCATAACTGTATATACTTTGCTAGAATTCTCTACTGGGCGTTATGCTCACCCCTATGCAGGTTAAGATGTGGTGGTCCCGCCGGGCTAAGGGCGTGGATATGTTTTGATGAAGAGTAGTTTTGCTCTTCCATTTGTTGTGATCTATCTTTAAGCCAAGGGCTAATGTGTATGGGTCCGAGAGACCATTTTGTGTAACCGGGCTATTGCTTTGGAAGATGTAAGCCCTTAGGGGCATTTTATTTGTGTTGAGATTAGAAGCTTCACATGCTGTAGATTCATGTATCTCTATATTCTTGAATGTATAAACATTGATGGTATATTATGTAAAGGTTGGAGTTATGATATTATTTATTGGGTGAATGTTGATTAATGTGGGTGGTTCATGTGGTATTATTTCGGGGCGTTACAACTTGGTATTAGAGCTACCGGGTTTGAATACTTGGGGCTCGGGGGAAATGATTGTTATACCACAATGGGTTCGTTTCGCATGATTAGGAAATGTTTTGTCTATGTGATTATGTGACAACATGCTTATGTGACTATATGGGTATGGGATTAGACTTTTGGAATGTTATTTGCACCTATTAGATTCCTTAAGGTCTTATTAGAAGGGTACATGATCAATACTCATTCTACTAAGAATTCTTGGTTTCTCATGGGACAAATCTCATCACTAAAGGATAATTCGTATATGCTTATGTGACTACGTGCCTATGTAGAGTGAATTGGATTGCTTATGTGCTAGAATATATCTAATTGTATTAGTTTTATGTGTGAGGCAAGTTGCGAGTGCATTTGGAATTATGTACCAATTTATCTATCTTGTTCCTTAATTAGGATGTCGGGAAAGGTTCAAAGTTGTGGTGGTGAGGGTGTGTGCCTCAAGGAGGCTGTTGCGTCGTACACTTAGTTGATTTTGTTTTTGAATTTTATAGGATGTTTACACGAGGAAGTAGAGGATGGATGAGTAATAGGAGTGTTGGTAGGGGCATTGCGGTTCCCCTAGCACCTGTCGTTACAGTATCGGCTATCGGCGAGGAAGTTGCATGCGAGGTCGTGAGAGCGGTGCAAGATGCTCTAGCTCGCAATGAGGGGGACAATAGGCGTACCCTCAAACTTACTAAGGAGTTTCTTCGCTCCAATCCACCGGAGTTTTTGGGAGAGGCAAGATCGCTGGAGGCGGAAAGTTGGTTGGAACAGATTACCAAGACTCTTGACATGCTCAGAGTCGAGGATGAGGGGTTGAGGGTTTCTTTGGCGACCTTCTTATTGAAGGGAGATGCAAATTATTGGTGGAAGTATGTGAAAGGTATTGTAGGTGCCACGTGGGTTGCGTTTACCGATGCCTTCTTGGCCAAGTATTTCCCTCATTCTGCTCGGGAAGGTTAGGGGAACAATTTGTTGAGTTACATCAATATGTCACCCCTTTGGCTCAGTTTGAGATGAGGTTCACTAGATTGTCAAGATTTGCTCCCGAATGGGTGGCAACAGAGGAGCGCCGTTGTTATGAGTTTGAGAGGCGGTTGCGTGATGATATCCGAGAGAAGGTGGTTAGATCTAAGTGGAAGAATTATTATGATCTAGTTGAGGTGGTGGTCCATGCAGAAGTCATGGTTAGCAGTGTGGGTCAAGCTAGGAGAAAGGCCACATCGGTAACTCCTACAGTTCATAAGCACCCTAGACTTAGCAAGAGATGGAGGCGAGCGCATGCTCACTCGCAGACTCGGTCTTTGTTTTCATCAGGGGTTTCGAGCTCATCTGTTGGGGGATCCAGTGAGGTTCAGGCTCCAAATTGGATTCAAAGTTGGGAGGCCATTGTTTGTTTTGATTGTGGTCAGCGGGGCCATGCTAGACGTTTTTTCCCTTTAGATCTTTTCGGTGTTTCAAAATCTAGTCGGTCTTTGTCCCATCAGTCCAGTCGGGGATGTTATCGGTATCAGACCCGAAGAGGCCAGGCTTCGGAAGCTTCACGAGAGTCGACCTTTAAACCAGCACAGTATTATCACCCTTGAGAGGGACTTTTGTTTTAGAGATCTATGTTATAAATTGTGAAACTTTTGTGATTGATCGGTGTGTTGTAGGATGCTAAGGCACTGAGGTTATGTGTTGTGTATGTATTGTTGTTTGTTACCCTCATGTGTTAGGGCTGGCTAATGAAACTTGAATTCCTTGTTATGTGTGTGTAATAAAAGGTGTAAATGGAATTGGTGATCCTAGTACTATTGTATATCAACTGTCGAATTTTGCAATGATCTTGTGATGGTCTTTAACTCTTGGTTAGTTTAGAAATTGTTGATGGGGATTGAGAAGTCTGCGGAATCCTTGTGACAAACATAGTGTTAGGATGAGGGCCAAAATTTTAAAAGCTTTATGTGTTAAGTTTGAGGAAGTATGAGACCTTGGAGTTTTGTGAAGATTGGTGGAAATGACGTGGGAATGTCTAGGGAGTGTGAGATTCGCATCTCGGGGGAAGTAATGATTGGTTGGTGTTTTTAGGTAACGAGTGTACCATTGGTAAGAATTGTCTTGGTAACCCGGATCGTGTGATCGCCGTTGACCTACTCGATCTTGTGTTCGGCATAAGAGTGTGTTGGCTATCTAGGCGTGTGAATAGAATTCCTTTGGGAATGGTGTGTAGGTGTTTGAAGATCGGGAGCGGAGGCTCTCGGGTGATTAGTTAAGTTGAGTGGTATCAAGGTGGGTGACAAACAGTCACTTTAGAGTGGCTTAGGTGTGGGTTGTAAAGTTGATCTTTTGGAAAATTAGTACATTTTGGCTAGAAGGCGACATGGTGCCATGGGTTGTGCCTAGGGTGTTAGGCCTTGCGTTTGTGTGTGGTTATCGGTGTGCGCGTCTCTGTGTAAGATTTGAAGCCCCGTGAATCGGGGTGGAATGTTAGCTTCTTGAGTAGGAGTACTCATAGGTCTTCGGGCGTAGTTGGTCCTTTTTGGCTAATGTTTGTGTTGTATGGAACTTTTGGAGTTTGGAAAGTTGTGTGTTACACTGTTTCTTTTAGCACAATGTTATTTCTAATTGTTGTTGTTATGAAAATGTAATTGTTGCATTCTGGAAGTCACTGTAGGTAGGATGAATGTGATTGCGTGATGGTTGTGATTCACCGGTTGTTTGTTGGGAAGATAAATGGATAAGTGATTGTTGGTTTTTGAAAACTTTCATGGCATTTCTATTTCAACTAAAACCCTTGGGGTGAAATTTTAAGGCTTGTTTTGAGAAAATAATTACAAAATAAATTGATTTTACTCGAAGTTTGTAACACGAATCTTTTAAAAAAATAATAATAATAATACGAATTCAAGCAAAATTTTGGAGAAAATGTATAAATAAGGAAAGGGTTTTTCTTTCAAAATGACAAGAACAATCCTTATTTTAACTAGTTTATGTGATCATGTCGTATCTTGTGTAAATAATGACTTGCGTGGTAGTAATAATGTTATTGGCCGAACGGAATGGTATAATTGTTATATTCAGTTAATTAATATTGTGGAAATGCTATGTTATGTTTTTACGGTTGTGGCACCACCATGTGGGTGATGGGTATTGTTGGTTAACGGCAGAGATCCGCCGGTTGTTACGGTGGAGCGAAAATTAAAATGAACGAATTTTGAATTTTTTCTTAAAGGGAAGAAAATGCATTTTGACTTGTGACCGGTGTGAGTTTAGAACACCTTTGGGAAAATATTTTGCATGTAAAGAGATGACTTTTACCAATAATGGAGAAAGAGATGAAAACCTTCTTTTGGAATGGAGTTGTTAATTATTGTACCCTTACGGTTATGATGGTGTAACCGCTTTAATTGTATTTCTAAATCTTGAGTTTTATACGTTCGGTTATGTGAATGGTTGGGCGTTGTAAGAACTTGTTAGACCGGAGTCTTGTCTTGAGTCGAGTTTTGTTGTAACCTTTTTCCTTAAACAAGGTAACCAAGGATCTTGTGGTGAAAATCTAGTCCCCATCTTGTTGGAGTGCGAAGCGTGGAGAGTGTTTGGGCTAGTGGTGGTGGATACCCAGGGCATGCGTGTGGTTGCCGTGGTTGTTTGTTGTTCTTGCCTCATAGGCCCAGTTAGTGGTGTGAATCGAGGGGAAGTCTGTGACCTTTTCCTTGTGTTCTTGACTAATTCGGTATCCTTGGCGTTCCTAGAGTCGGGGTGGTATTCCAATTTTGGTTTTGACCGGAAGTTGGTGTTGTGTTTCCTTGGTTAGTTTGGAGGTTTTCCTTGGCACTGTTTGAGGCCTTGTATAGCCGACCTTGTAGGTCACCAGTTTGTTGGGTTGAGGTGGGCGATGCACCTTTGTTGGGCCTGGAAATTGTGAGGGAGACGACCGAGAAATTTGCTCTCATTCGCAAGAGGTTAGCTACGGCTCAAGCCGACAGAAAAGTTATGCCGATGAGAGGAGGCGACCTTTGTTCTTTGAAGTAGGCGATCGTATGTTCCTTAAGATCTCACCTAGGCGGGTTAATGAGGTTTGGCAAGAGTGGTAAGTTGTCTCCAAGGTTCTTTGTGCCTTTTGAGTTATTGGGGAGGATTGGGAAAGTGGCATACCGGTTAATTTTACCGCCACAACTTTCGAGAGTTTATAATGTGTTTTAATTGTCTATGCTTAGGAAATACGAGCCCGACCCTTCTCATGTGTTAGATTGGGTTGATTTGGAGGTAGATGAAGATGCCCCTTACGAGGAAAGACCGGTTCAAATCTTAGAAACCCGAGAACAAGTGTTACATGGTAAAACTATACCGTTAGTGAAGGCATTGTGGAGACACCATGGAGTGGAGAAGGCTACGTAGTAAAGGGAGGCGGAGGTCTGTTCCAAGTATCCGGATTTATTTGAGCATGTCTAGTTGTTTGGTTTTAGAATTTGTAATGTCCCCTAGTGATGAATGAGAGAATGTTAAATTGTGATCACATGTTGTATGTATTATCGATTTGAGTATGGCGTTATGGAAAGATAAATTAGTGTTCTAGAGGTTTCATTTCATTTCTAGTTTGAACGTTTGTGTTTTGATGAAATGGTGAGGAAGAAAATAATGAATGATTAGTTGAATTTTGGTGTTGTGACTTGGGAAACGTTGTTAAAGTGATTGTCGTGGCCAAAACTCTTTGGTTTGATGGTTTGTTTAAATTTCAGGGACGAAATTTCCTAAAGTGGGGAGGTTATAGCACTTGTACCCTTTTAAAAGCTTTTGGGAAGTGTATTTGAATCTTTTATTTTGTTTTGGGAATCTTTGGTGTTGTTGTATCTAGGTTTTGTTGGGATTGCTCGTCCACGCTTGTTCACGTTGAAAAGTTGTTTGAAAACTTGAAAATCATGTTCTGGGGTCGACAGCGGTCTCGGTGGTGTCGACACCTTCTCTTTAGGTTGGCCGCACGGGTCGACACCAATCTGGGAAGGGTCGATCCTTGTGCTGATTTTGCTCACTGAATTTTGGTGTCAACACCTGCCAGAGGAAGGGTCGACACATGCCGTGTAGTCAAACTTAGTGTTCCAGCTTTTCTTCATAAGGGTCGACACCTCTACTGTAAGGGTCGACACTTGTATTGCAGTCAAACAAAAAGTTCCAGATTTTCTTCATAAGGGTCGACACCTGTGACTTTTTTTCAGAATTTTCAGTCCGATTTTGGGTCCACTTTTTGGGGATTTTGACTTGATCTTTTGGGTTGACTTTGGGACTTTATTTTACTTTGACCTAGTGCTATAAATAGGCTTCCACTCAACCCTATTCTTTATTTCTTCTCCTCTTTTCTCCCTCTAAACCGTGAGACCCTCTCTCTCTCTCTCTCAAAAAGCACTTTTCACTCAAAAATCTTTAGATCTACTCTCTTGGAAGCATCTTCTTGCCTTGCTCCTTTGAGAAAGATTGTAGATCTCGTCAAGAGCTTCATTTTGATCCAAGTAGAAGTTGGTTTCGACAACTTTGGAGTTTCAACCTTTTTGCTCATCTTCTCTTCCAAGTTTGAGGTAGGGACATTCTTGAGTTATATATACATGTTTTGGAAGGTTTAATGTTGGTTTTATGTTTATCTTGGTTCCAATATGAAATTTTAGTTTTTGTTTCAAAATGTTGAGTTTTTTTTTTTTAAATAAGGATCTAAAATTTAAATGATCTAAGTGATCCTTGAAGCCTTTTTCTTATGATATGAGAAAAATGATTTGATGAGCTTTCACATGAAAATGGGAGGCGTTTTGGGTTTTGAGAAAGCACCTTAGAAATTTGGGGGTTTTTGAAAACATGAAGAAAACTATGAAATTCTTCTTTTCTTGTGTTTAAATAAGTAAATGAGCTTGGATTTCACGAGGTGATATAAAGAAATGACGATTTTCATGATATAAAGAATGGAGGACTTATTTTTAAACTATTGTTGAATGTATGGAAATATTTAAGTGGAAGATGATAATTGTTGTGCATTATGGATTGTGAGGATTAATGTTTGAAAAACACTACATGTTCTATTGATGAGACTATATTGCTAAAAATTGTGAAAAGTGAAATTGTGGCTAAGTGTAGATAACATGTGGTTATCTTGGGAAAGAGTAAGAGTAATGAAAGGAGGAAATGGAGAATGTGATTGTTGACATTGTTGTGAAGACTTGGAAATGGGAAATGTTACGAGTTATGAGAAATCATTGCATTGCATATGCATTCAATTATTATTTTTTTTGCATTGTAAATTTTGATTGAAGATATTTATTTCATGAAAGAAAAGCGATGTTGTATTTAAGAACTATGGCAATGTGTATGGGGTAAATACGGTGGTAAGTCCGGATAGGGGGTGTAGATGATTTGATAAGTTGGCCTGAGTGTCCTTGGTAAAAGACTAGAAAATCGCACGGATAGGTGTCGAGCCTTCTGGTTAATCCCAGTAAAAATGACAGTTTGGTAGTGCTTGTAGAGCCTACTTGCAGACACCAGCCTAGGGATTACCAGTGTCGTATTTATCGCCCCTGTTGATTAAAATTGGAAGTTTTTGAAATGTGTTGAGATTGCAAGCTTT